TCCTGCCATGGAATTCTGTGATTGGCTTTGAATAATTGAAACCGTGACTTTAATACCTCTAAGGCCAGGGATCCCCTTTAGCTGATCCCAATGACTTGGCAATAATTTGGGGGGAGAAATGCAGAAAGTGGTAGTTAATAATAGAAAATCTGAGTCTCACTGCCCTGATTTTTTTTGTAGTCCTCAATGACTGAACTTTTTACTCAACACTTATTCATAAGTATTAATGAAGCCCCTGCTAAACCCACAGCACTGTGCTGGATACTTGAGGAGAAAGGCAAAGACTTATGAGATATGGCTCCTCTCCTCTAAGGGCTTACCGGGGACATTAGACCCAGGTAGTACCAATGAGTGACTGTCCTCAGTCTCGCCTCAGTCATGTGCCCCATAGTCATACCCTCAATGTGGCCATTCTGTGCATCCCACTCTAAGACCAACTGACCCTATCTTTTCAGACCGCTTTCTCTAACATTCAAGCTGCAACAGTTCTTCAACCTCACCAGGTTGACTCCATCCCTGTCACTGTCTCTCACCCCTCTAGGTTCTGTACTCCCCCCACCCCCCACCTTCTACTCAGCTCACACTCCATGGTCCGTCATTAACAACTGCTCACTTTTATTCCCTGTCCTTCTTCACATTCCCTTAAAGTCACTTTTCCTTCTTTTCTTTCATGGCATCAGCTTGGTAAAACCATGCTTAAATTCAGCTCCCCTCCTAGTCTTCACCTGTACCCAGCAGCTGATTGTGGCTGGAGACAATTTCCGCAACGGCAAATCTCATTTTGAGTTCATGACTCCCGGTGTCAGTGGGTCCGTAGAGCTGCTGTCAGTCCTTCTCCATTGTCAAGATCCATTCCATCCTCGACTTCCTTAGATAACTATTTTTCACGTTCTTCTCTCTTCAAACCTCCAGCATCTCCTCCATTCTTTCACCGCTTTCTATTCCACCGGAGGGAAAAAATAGAAGCTCTCAGAAGAGAATTCCCCTATTCTCCCATCTCCCACTTCTCCCAGCTAACTCTATCTGTGCATAAATGCCCTCCTCCCCTTCTTTTTGCTCTGGATGATCTAGCTGGGTTCCTATCTAAAGCCAAGTTCTGGGCGCGAGGTATAGCTCAGTGGTAGAGTGCACATTTAGCATGCACAGGGTCCTGGGTTCAATCCCCAGTACCTCCATTAAATAAATAAATAAAACTAATTACCCCTCAGAAAAACCCACAAACAAAAAAATGTAATAAAAATTTGTTTTAAAAGCCAAATTCCTCCACTGTGTACCTGATTGCATTCCTTCTTACCTGTTCATGAATATATTTCCAGCAGTTATCTCTTCTTTCCTGATCAACAGTATTTTCCATTGGGTCATTCGCAGTAGCATATAAACATGCTGAATTACCACATATATAACAAAAATAAAACAAAATCTGCCTTGACCCCACTTTCCCCTGTAGCTACTGGTTTGCTTTACCGAAAATCTCCTTGAATGAGCCTTCTAGACCCAGTAATTCCCATTCCTCTCTCCAGTGTCTTTCCTAAATACACCTCAGGCTTTCATTCTCAAAACTGCTCCTTGCAAACTGCTCTTATCAAGATCTTCAGCCACCTCCACCTTCCAGACGCAACAGCCGTTGCGTTGCGAACGATTCTCAGCCTTCACCTTGTTCATCTTATTGGCAGCGTTTTACACGGCTGATCACCGCCTCCTTCTTCAGCACTCCCATCGCTTGGCTTCCAGGGCACCACTCTCAGCCCTCCTCCCTGGTTGTTCCTTCTCTGTCTCCTTTCCTTGTTCCTCCTCGTTTTCCCCAAGCCCTGAACACTCTTTCTCACAGCTTTAAATTTCCTTCTGTGCTTTTTACCCCCAAATTTGTATTTCAAGCCTAGACTTCTCCCTCTAACTCCAGACTCACATATCCATCTGCCTAATGGATCGCCACTTGGGTATGGAATAGATAGCTCACCAGATGCCAGAGTGAACATGATTCTCCCTCTGCCCCAAATCTACTCCTCCCAGTCATTAAGACCAAAGACTTTGGAATCATTCTCGACTCCTTTCTTTCTTTCCCATCACATTCTCAATCTATCAGAAAATCTTTTTTATTCTTTCTTCAAAATCGATCCAGACTCCACTTTTCATCACTTCATTATTACCATCTTGTCTAAGCTACCATTGTCTCTCACTTCTTTCTGAAAAAGTCCCTTACTTTCTCTCTCCTTCTGTCCTTATTCCTCTGAAATCTATTTTCAACACAGCATATGGAATGAGCCTTTTAAAAATATAAGTAAAAGAATGTAACTTCTCTGCTCAAAACCCTCCTGTGGAATCCCAACTCACTCAGACTGAAAATTAGAGTCCTTCCCATCAACTACCAGATCATACCTTCCTGACCTTATCTCCCACCACTCTCCCTGGCTTACTGTGCTCAGCCACACTAGTGTCCTTCCTAGAACATGCCAAGCTATCTCCTGCCCCAGGGCCTTTGCACTGGCTATGCCCTTTACCCTGAGATGTCATCCCACAGGTTTCTCATGGCTCACTCTCTCTACTCCATTATTACCTCAGTGAGGCTTTTCTTGACCACCTGATATATAATAATAACCTTCCCACTCTGGTACTCCCTTTTCTTGTCCTGTTTTATTTTTCTTCATAGCACTTATCATTATTTGACTTACTGCATATTTATTTACTTATTTATTAATTATCCTACTCTTCCTACTGTAAGTTCAGTGAGAGCAAGACTTTGTTCACAGCTCTATTTCCAGCACCTAGAACAGTGACTGGTACAGAGGAAGTACTCCAGAAATACTTCTTGAATAAATGAATGAATTAATTAATAAATTCAAAAATGCACATCCGTAACCTTTACTGCTGTTTTAGAGAAGGTAGAGTATCACACACTGAAGTCGGAGAAGACTTTGATGAGATAGTAAATCTAGACACTGAGGGATGGGGAGAATTTCGATAGGGTTAGGAAAGCATTCAGCTGACAAGCAGGTAAAAGCTAAGCATTGAATAAAGAAAACTTCAACAATGTATCTTGAGCATCTACTACGTATGCCAAGTACTTTAAGCTCATTATCTTATATTACCCTCATGATCACTATAGCCAAGAGCTACTATTGCATCCATTTTGTAAATAAGGAAACTTTGTTGCAGGGATTTAAAAAGCAGCTTTCCCCAGAATCTATAACTAATAAGTTGGAAGCCATCTTTGCAGTTGAGGTTTAACTGAATCCAGAGCCTATTCTCTTTCTCTTTTCATTTCTTTATGATCGTCACTATTACTGGTGTTATCCAAGCTCCTACTCTCTCCACCTAAAATGCTCCCTCCCGCACTATGTGATGAATTATGACCCTTGTTGGGGCTCAATTAGGCGATACATCAGAAATGGAGGTACTAACAAATGGATGGGATTCTCAAATCCTTCTCATTAACCTAATGGAAGTTAAACTGCTCTGAGTTTACTTGCGTTGGTGGCAGCGTGGAATTTCAGCATTGTGGCTGGCACTATCCACTTCTCTTGTGGTCATCTCTGCATGAAACGTCTGTCCATTTATTTCTTTGCTGAGGCTGAATGGAATATTCCATCATTGGAAAATAAAGCTTCAAGTTTAAAATTGAAATCTTTATTCCTATTTGATGAATTGGCAAAATCCTTAACAATTTGGAAGGAAGTGCTGTTTTTGCTGCCATCAGCTACAAAGTGCTGGACGCTCACAGTGCAGTTTATCAGATTTACATAGATTCCAGGTGAATCTGATCCAGGAGCTACAAAAAATGCGTATTAAGCTAATTGTTATTCTATCCTCTCTCCCCCAATATCTCTGATACGGAAAAAGCAATGGCATCTGAATAGAGTCAGGAATTAAAACGTGGCTTTGTTCACCACTGAAATTCATGGGACTGCCAGGGAGGGGAGAAGGGAAATTTTTTGTTGTCTTTTCCAAAACCCATTACCTTCAGAATAACATTAAAAAAAATTTTTTGGTCAGTTTTGCTGTGGCAACAAACAACCCCAACATTTCAGTTACAACAGCAAAAATTTCTTTCTTACTTACATTACAAGTTAGTCATGGGGCATTGTGGGGTCAACTATGGTTCTGCTGCAAGGGTCATTCCAGAACTCAGCTGAAGAAGCAGGTCCTCTATGGGATAAGCCATTCTGGTGCAGAACCAAAAAAGCAAGGGATACGTTGGAAACAAAGAATGGCTCTTAAGGCTTCTACTCAGACATGGCGTATGTGATTTACATGTCATGGCAGAAGCAAGTCACACGACCAAGTCCAGTGTCAGTGGGGCAGAAATGTAAACTCCCGCTGGAGGCACTGAAACCACCCAGCAGTGACTGGAGGTGTGTGCTTCTGTCGCAGGAAGAGTGGAGAGCTGGGAACCATAATCACGTCTACCACACATTTCTTATCCTAGCATTCAAAACTCCATGTGAGAGCCAGCTTCATGTCCCTCCACATCCCTTATTTTGCCTCTGCTCTGGTCACATAAGCTGGTCCCGTCTCCCCTAAACCATATGCCCTCACACTTCCACGTCTGTTTCCTTAGCTAGAAAGGCAATTCCCTCCATTTTCCACCAGCTGAAGTTGCTCTCAGCCTGTAAGGTCCAGCTCAAATTTCATATGCTTTATAAAGCTTCTCTCGATTCCCCAGCTGAAATGAAACACTTTTCCCTTAGAGTTAGTAGGGCAGGCTGGTTGTACCTCTTTCCAGCTTTAATTTTAATCTTCCTTGGCAAGTCTGAATAAAAAAGCTTCTGGAGGGCAGAACCCAGGAATTCTGTTATGTTGGAATTTCTCTCCAGCTTCTTTGAGGTCAGAGTCTTGACCATAATAGATGCTTAATAAATTCCACTGGATGACTAAAAACCTACATATTCACCGTCAAGCTTATCCATAATGTGAAATTCTAAGTCTTTTCTATAGGAGGCATATGTAGACAATTCACACCGAGGACTCTTTGGGGAACTTTCCTCAGTCAGAAACAGTCATGGACACTTAACTCAGCAGGCAAGATACCAGACTCACTAAGGTGGTTTTCCCAGGGCGAGCCTCATACATTGCACTCTGGATGTGCTGACCCCAAGGATTTCCCCAAATGTGGGGAGCTTAACTGAATAATTGGTGATAGTGAGGGACTATCTGTTCACACTCTCCCCTGGGAAAAAAAAGAAACAGTTATGGAGATGATCCTGTTGGTTCCATGATCTAGACTCTACCAGTCTTGTGTGTGTGTGTGTGTGTGTGTGTGTGTGTGATCTCTAACTTCCCACCAGTAAGGCATTGTGGGCACCCTGTTTTCACAGCAACATTGCTTCCCTTGCCAATGATTGCTGCATTGAGAAGTGGTGTTTCTTTCCTTCTTTTTCATTGCAATATTGTCTTCTCACATTGGCATTCTACCTCATGCCCTTGTCCATGGCCACTCAGTAGGAGGGGTGGTAGGGAAAGGGTGGGCCACTGGAGAGAGGCTGCAGATGCAATAGAAAGAGAAGGAGCTTACAGCCAGAGAATCTGAGTTAGATCTCACCTCCGCTCCTTACTATCTTTGTGGCCTTAAGCGAGTCACTTGACTCCACTGTCCCTTCAATTTTCTTATTTGTTTAAAAAAAAGAAAAGAAAAGGAGACAATTAGAAAGATAGAAAAGGGTGTAAGGATATTGTACAAGCACTGAAGTGTGAATAGAGCCTAGTAGCACATCACAGGAGCCCAGTATCTTCGTGGCATGTTTTGTGCTTAAAAAAGCAGTGCTGTACGAGTCCCTTGGTCCATAAGGGATTACTGGCACTCTTGGTGTCATTATCTAAATGGTCTTGATGTGTTGCCAGAATGAAAGAGTCCCTTGGTTCCCAAACAGCTTCTTCAGCCTCATCCCATCTGTTTATCCTGGGCCTTAATAAATCCATGAATGAAAGGAGGGTTTTCAAACTTGATGATTCTCATCCTGTCTCATGTGAAAAATCAAGGATAATAACTCTACCTTTCTGGTTCCTGGGGAGAAAGCCAGACTTTACCAGGAAGTTGGGAAGGCACTTACAGTCTCCTGACTTTCCAGGTCACTTATGCGACAGCTGCCCACTCCACTTCATGGTCAACATATGAAACATCCATGATCAGAGACCTGGACTCTCACTGTCAAACATGCTCTTTTCTTCTTTTACCCAATAAATGTGCTGAATTTTATGAAAGAAGTCTGCAACGTCCTTTGAAGGGGTAGACATTGTATGCAAAACTTTGTTCTTCTGTCCTGAGTGGGCAGAAAGTATTGGTTTTATCAGATTTCACAGGAGTCTAGAGATGCCCATTTTCAACAACTCTCTCCTTTTTTTGTTCATAGTAATTGTGTAAGTCAGGGTTGTCCAGAGGAAAATAGAGAGAAAGAGAACCAATAGGATGTGGGATATATATTGGTTCTCTTGCTCTATATATGTTATTATAGATAGAGGGAGAGAAACAGAGACAGAGTTATTTAAGGAATTGGCTCACACAGTTATGGAGGTTTGATGAGTCCAAAATCTCATGGGGTGGTCTGGCAGGCTGGAGACTCAGGGAAGAGTTGCAGTTCAAGTCCAAAGGGAGTCTTCAGGCAGAATTCCTCTTTGCTTGGGGGAAGTCAGTCTTTGTTCTATTAAGATCTTCAGCTGATTGGATGAGGCCCACCCCCATTATGGAAAGTAATCAGCTTTACTCAAAGTCCATCCATGTAAATGTTAATCTCATCCAAAAACACCTTCACAGAAACATCCGGAATAATGTCTAACCAAATATCTAGGTACCGTGGCCTCACTAAGTTGACACGTAAAATTATCACAGTAATATAAAACAGCAAGCAGCCGACTGACATGAGCTGTAGCGTCATAGGAACTAAAAAGAAAGCTTTGAGAACAAATCTGCCCTCCCTATCTTGCAGATAAGAAAACCACAGCTCAGAGATCACACACCTGTTTAGCTAGAAAACTGAAACTAGGTTTCAGATTCCGGACTCTTTCTGTGACTGCCAGATTTCGTATTGGTTATTTAATTCATCATGAGGTACAATTTAATGTCCTTCCATGAAAATTAGACAGGGTCAAGTTTAGACTTGGGTTATCTGTGTGGCAACTGCTAAGCAAATTGCAGTTAGACCAAAGTTTTCCTCTTAGCCCAATGTAAAAAGAAAAATGTAATTTGAGACAATAACAAAAAAGGAGGATGGAGCTTGATAGGAGCAGAGCTACAAAAGAATTGAATACAATACAATTGAAGCTGAATTGGTATTAACGCAACCTAGATTGTTATATATTTAAGGTATTAATTGTAATCTGCTTTTCTGAGGTCATCCAAGTCATCCATGGAAGAAGCCAGTGAGTAAATTTCCTGGGCTGGAAGGATTTTGTCTAAATGTGTAAGAAAAAATTTATGCTTCAGTGGAAAACTATGCCTGCCTTGTCTAAAGCACACATTCTGGGTTGTCTGATTCTGATTCCACGGGAGCTATTTTAATCTGAAAACTGCAGATGACTGATAGCAATGCAAACCAATTCTTATTTATAAATATGCAAATGAATTCTGTCCAGGAGAGGGACGACCCTTCCCCTCCTCCAAGAAAAGGGCAGTTTCGCCTCCATTTGCACATTTATTTCAACATTCCTTTGCTCTGTATAAATTTGGTTCTAAATCTGTGCTTCCTTGACTTCTTCTTTAATCCATTTATAACGTCTGCCTGGTTCTCTCACTTAATTAATGAGTCAAATAGAATCTTTACCATGTGTTCATTTTATGGCTCTAGGAGAGTCATGATTTTGCCTTTTTTTGAAAATTATCCTTTAATGAATGTCACATCTTTCCCAGCACATAAAAGAATGCTCTGCTGAATTAAAATCGACCCTCTGCTCAGCATCCATTCAGCTCCACTCTGCTCTAAATCTTCACACTAAAACAAAAGTTCAATTAGGTTTTCACAGGGTTTGCTGCATTAAAATCTGGGGGGTGAGGTGGGGGAGGTGATCAAAGTGGAAATAGAGATTCTGACAGCAAAAGAAAATAGACTGAGGAAGACATGGATGAGCACACAGATTTCTTAACCACTTAGTAGAGGATCTGAGAAATTAGGCTGAGATGGGAGGTGGTGGAGAATAGGATAAATAATGGCTCAAAGCAATTGCCTCTGAGTCCCGCCCAAATCATCACTTATCCCTCTAATGAGCGGTTTTCCTCCACCCCCACACTCCACAGCAACTCCTAAAGTGGGTTATTAGCAAGTGTTTTGGACTCCATTCATCTCAGGAACATTTTAGTCAGCACAGAGCCTGGGCTCTACCCTCTCCTTGGAAACAGCCAGGGAGGACGTCCAGAACTCAGGGCAAGTTCTCAGGAAGAGAACAGAAAAGTGGAGAGCTCTCTGTCCTCCTGTGTTCCCTCTGTAGCCTGGATCCCCACAAGCTTTCTAGGCATGTTGGGGCAAAGAGGGGGAGGCAAGGGGACGTGCAGGACATACTCCCCAAGCTAAACCCAGAACCACCCTCCCTGCCTTGCTCGGAGGATTCGAGCTGCTTCCACATGGCCTCTGCTATTAAAGTTTGCCTGTTGTGTTTGTCCCTGCCAGGTCACTCTGTGCTCCCAGCTTCTCCATGGCCTTGCTGGATGTCTGTTGCCATAGCTACTACTTTTCCTAAAGATGCCTCCGCCGTCAGCATCATTATCTGTTTGGCTTCTTGCTGGAGGGTCCTGCTGCTCATTCCTTCCAGACTGTAGAGTTTTCATTGACTCCAGAGGATGCCCCGTAACTCCAACTCCTCACCATCCTCTCTGATGAGGAGTGTGGGTAAAGCTTCTGGGGCTTTACCGTCCTTTACCCTAACTTACTTTGGCTATTCCGTCCCCTGTGGCCACATCAGCACTCTAGATCCTCATCTTCTCTTTTCTGGGACATGCAACAGTCTCCTAAGCATTGGATTTTGTTGAGGGAAACAAGCCCCAAAGTTCTAGCGGCTTAACACAAGACAAATGTATTCCTTGTTACTAGGTTGACAGGGAGCTCTCCCTGACACAACCTTCCAGAAACACTGAATGATGAAGACTCATTGCTGCCTAATATGTGGCCTCCAAGGGTTCTGGACCTTGAGGGGAGTGGGGGAAGGTGATGGAGAAACCTTCCCATCAGAGTCGAGCTAAACATTGCCTTTCCCTTTATGGAGGGCACTGACACTCCAGTCAGAAAGGGGAACGAGAATGGACGAACATGCGTGGGAGGCCCTTCTGGGCCAAGCCTGGGAATGGTACACGTCCTGTCTGCTCATTCTGTCAAAAGAAACCCAGTCATGTGGCCACACCTATCTGCAAGGAAGTCTGGGAAATGTAGACTATGCTTGTGTCCAGAGAAGGAAGAGTGAGTTTAGGGGATCAAGGGTGGTCTCCACCGTAAGGCTCCCACCTCCCATCTTGTTCCCTTCCAGTCCTTTGTCCCAGCTCCTCTTCAGAGGCTGAACATGGAGAGCCTCCCAGCCAGTGGGTAACAGAGCCAGCACCAACCCGGGTTTGGCTGATTCCAGACTCCACGTGCTTCCCCACGTCTCCCGTCTCCTATAGTAGCTTTCCGCATCCCATCTTCACCTCTCCATTGTGTTCTCCTCTTTAAATCTCATCACGTTCTCCCAACTGGGGCGGAGTCTTGGGAAGGGGAATAATCCATTTGTGTGTTGTTTTTTTTTAACCCAATGTGAGCCTGAGTGTTAGTGTGAAAATCGTTTTCTTTCCCACATCTTCTCAGCTGCCTTGCTTCGCCTCCTCCGCTGTGTTCTCAGCTTTACAAATCCCCAAGCTGTCATCGATGGCATGAGGCAAAGTTTAGCTCCGCTCCAACAGAAAGGTCTCCCCATCGCTGCCCCCGCCCTGAGGGCCAGGCCTCCCCTTCTGCCGCACTTCTTGTCTTCTAGTCTCTCTTTTTTCCCGACCTCTAGTCTGTTGGTCATAGCAAGTCACAAAGCCAGTCCAGAGTTCACGTGGGAGGGGAAGTAGATTCCACCTCTTAGCAGGAGCGCCGGCAAAGAAATTGTGGCCAGCCTTGACTATCCACAAATACGGTACAAATGAATGATAGTGAGAACGGGCGTCTGCACAGGGCTTGGGAATTGTGATAGTTTTTACAAACTTTGTCTCCTTTGAAAACATTGGACTTAAAA